AGCAGCGCCAGCAGACTCAGCACCAAGGAAGTCAACAGCAGCAGCAGTAGCATAGGAGGGAGCGAGGGGAGAGGGAGAGCACCCCTCAAAGATGGGGGTGCGAGGAGCGCCGCGAGCAGCACCAACAGCTACAATGCTCTTCTCGGCTGCTAGCAGCTTCTCCTCTAGGAGGGCGACAGTGAGCTCAGTGGGACAGCGAGCAAGGAAATAGTCGCGCACTGAGCTGAGGGTGTCAGGGAGACGGGTGACTATGAAGTGGAGTGCCCAGTACAGGGGAGGGGGGTTCTTAGCGCAGAACTCGGTGGGAAGGGCGGCACGCAGGCGAGCATCACTAGTGCGAAGGTGGGTGATAAGATCGGCGACTGTAGCAAAGGTGGACAGGTCAGGGAACAGGTAAGGCAGCATGAGACGGCTAAGCTCGGCTGTGGCAGGTGAGGAGTAGCGAGCAACGACAGCGTCGTATAGGGCTTTAGCGGTTTTGCAGTCGCCAAAGTGCTCTAGCTCAGCTAACGGCAGGTGACTGCGAATAGCCAGGCGAGCTGCAGCGTCACGAGTCTGCCACTGTGAACGTACACTAAGCTCAGCTGTGGCAGCAGGAGCAGCGGCAGCACCAGACGCGTAGTCATAGAGGGAGATGTGGTCCGTGCTATTGCTCATAAGATACAACTGCAGGTCGTCGAGCCAGGAAGTGAACTGCACGGGACGGCCCTCAGCATCGAAGGAAAGAACGCGAATAGAGGCCATAGCTCAGGCGTGAGGGCACAGCAGAGCAGCGGCAGCAGCAGAGGGGACGCGCTAGAGCGAAGCTAGCAGCCACAGCAGGAGCAAGCGGCGGTGCACAGGCAGGGAGCAGCAGGCGAGGCGGGCGGCGCTGCAGGCGGGAAGTGCGGCGGGCGGGCTGCGAAGCGGGCAGCGGGCGGGCGGGCGACGCTGCAAGCGGGCAGCGGGCGGGCGGGCGACGCTGCAAGCGGGCAGCGAGGCGGGAGGGCGACGCTGCGAGCGGGCAGCGGGCGGGCGGGCGACGCTGCGAGCGGGCGACGCTGCGAAGCGGGCAGCGGGCGGGCGGGCGACGCTGCGAGCGGGCAGCAAGCGGGCGGGCGACGCTGCGAAGCAGGTAGCGGGCGGGCGGGCGGCGCTGCGAGCGGGCAGCGAAGCGGGCGGGCCGCGAAGCGGGCAGCGAGCGGGCGGGCGGGCTGCGAAGCGGGCAGCGGGGCGAGCGGGCTGCGAAGCGGGCAGCGGGGCGAGCGGGCGACGCTGCGAGCAGGCAGCGCGGCGGGCGAGGGGCGAGCGGGCAGCGTGGCGGGCGGGCGACGCTGCGAGCGGGCGGCTCGGCGGGCGGGCGACGCTGCGAGGGGCGCGCGAGGGCGCTAGCGAGGGGCGCGCGAGGGCGCTAGCAAGGGGCGCGCGAGGGCGCTAACGAGGGGCGCGCGAGGGCGCTAACGAGGGTGCGCGAGGGCGCTAACGAGGGGCGCGCGAGGGCGCTAACGAGGGGCGCGCGAGGGCGCTAACGAGGGCGCACGAGGGCGCTACGAGGCTAGGGCACGGGGTAGCGTGGTAACCGCATGCGAGCGGTGGTGGGCCCTTAAAAAAAAAAACGGTCGGTAGGTCCTAGGGACCTCCTGCTCTGAATACCATTTCAGAATAACTAGGCAAGAATGAATGAACTAGCAGAAGGTTGGGTACAAATATGAAACCCTAGTTGGGGTTGTACCCCATATTGGCTACCCCACTACAGCCTACAAGCATAATACAGTTTAACAAGTGCGCCCATAACCCCCCAGGCCGATGTGCCTGTAACCCTTCCCTAGGATCATCGGGGATCCCTAGTGGACCTCTGACAGTTGTGTGCAGTTAGGCCTTGTTGACACAGGTTCTAGTCGTGTGTAGGCTTGAGTTTACTGTTTGCTTTGCTTGTACTCTTGCCATACTCTTTTGTGAACTGTTGAGTGGCCTTGTGGCCAGGCCCCGTGCTAGGATTTGGGGCACCCTGAGGCCTCAGGGCAACTTTCAAGAATCTTAAAAATGCCTTGATTTGTCAGGGCAATTTTTAAAAACCTTCCTGTAGTGTCAGGGCTTTTGCAGAAATTGATCCTGACCTGACAGGGCAAAAGATCGGGTGTTCAGGGTTCTGATTCAATCGCAGCAAAGGAAACCCCCCGAAGCCGCTCGACCCCCGACTGATGCCCATGCCATGCCACGGCCCCGCCCAATGCCTGCTGAGTCGAACCGGAAACCTGCAGCTCCCTCCTTCAGCTGATGCACGCAATGCGGTGCGGAAAACTCCGAACCCACCAAACCCCACCCTGACCTATGACCAAGCCCCTACCCATGCCAACTGAGACGAACCTTATACAACGAGATGAGAGCGATGTGTTTGGAAGGTGCGTTGCGGGGGATGGGATCTGTCAAAGGAATCGTGCGAAAGGGGGGGGGGGGGGGGGGGGAGATGCAGGGGAAAAAATTCCCCCGGAACGGGAATATACCCCCCCCCCTCCTTCTCCTCCCCCTAAAAATTCGCTCCAGGGCAAGCCTCGACATTCATCCTGAAGCTACAGGGAAGAACATCACGGCCATCCTGAACTTCCAGGGCATTTCAAATTACAACATCCTGAGGCCACAGGGTGAAAATTGACACAAATATGAAATCACACGGCAAATTTAAAAATGCATCCTGAAATCAGGGTGTTTTGCCCTGATATCGTGGGGCCTGCTTGTGGCCCCTGTTACTTGTGCTCAGAGTGTGTGGTGACGTTGTGATCCACCCTGAGTTTAGTTTCTTTGTGACTGGTCTTGTGACCGTACACTTTTGGTTTTGCTTGACACCCCTCACTTAGGCTATGGGGGTGTGTCAAATGTTGTAGCATGTAGTGAGGTTTGCCTTGGTGGTATGGATGTTAGGGTTTTTTTATATGTACCCCAACTCTCATCAATGTCACAGCACTTTCATTCTGGACAGATTCGGTGGTCGGAACTAGGAAATTGCAAAATAGATACCCATGAGTTATTGGGCAGGATAATGGTACAAGGTTTAGGTTGTTCTATATCGGTGATCTTACAGAAAGATATCATACCAGTTAGCTTTTCTGTAGCAAAATTGACGCATCAATATACAGTAGTTCGTCCCCAAATGCATCGATGTAACTCCCACTCACATGATTTATCGTTTGCTATGTTCACTATTACCGTATCACCCCGGATAGTAGCGCCGTCCTATTAAAAGCGCCGGCGCTTCTATCTGGAGCCATGCGCTTATGGCCGGTCCTCAATTATAAGCGCCCCCCCTAGAAAACCTTTACATATTATAAGTGCATGTACAGTTTTAATTCGAAATCTTGTTCAAAACAATAACGAATTTCGTTTTTGCAGAGAATTCAGATTCATTTTTGTTTTGCTTGGCTTGAGAAGACCTGACTGGTTTTGCGTCCAGTCAGGATGTGCCTCCATGACGTGTCTTTGACCCTTGAGTGGTGGCAGAGTATCGCTTACGAGCGATTCTTCTTGGTCACTCGAATATAATCCGACTCGGTTGAAATGGGAGGAATGAAGGTACAATTTGGTGACCTAAATATATAATTTTGTATTTGTCATTTTATAAGCGCATGCGCTTATGCCCTTTCCTCAATTACAAGCGCCCCCCCTAAAAAAATCGAGTTTTTCATAAGCGCATATGCGCTAATATCCGGGGGGATACGGTAATGTCCGCTCACACATGTACTCGTAACTCCTTAGGGCGGGTCACGTTTAAATGAACCTGACACGTTTTATGCGGTTCGGTGCTATAGAGACGGGATTAAGACGGTTCTGAGTTTCCATTGAAGCTAATTGTCTTTTATCGCCTTGACGTACTTGACTGCATTAAAAGAACCAGATTAATTTAAGCGTGACCCGCCCCGCCCTTAGTGCAATCTCGTTCAACTGCACATGTAACACTCATGAATAACAGTGTAGCACCTTGTAGTCGAGTCGAGGTGTTTCGCACTTCTTCATCAAGACATTCAAAGCGGCCAGGTTCGACAGCAGCGTTATCCGAACTTCTGTTACCCGCATCTCATCGCCACCTGCCTTTCGCAAGTGTGTTCTCTATCCAGGCAACAAGCTTCGTGCCTCTCTCCCATGGCTGCTGCGTGCAACCAAACCAGCACGTCCAGTCCCAGCAACTTCACAATCACTTCACAATCACGTCTGCAGTTGTTTTATTATTTTCCCGTCACCTTCCACGAGCACTATGCCTCTCGACTGTGATAGCGTTTGTGTCTGACGTCTCAAAGGTTAGTCTCAGAAACCGCTGGAACACGACGCCCGCCTGCTCCCTTGCCAGCAGCGCGAGCGAGCGCATGGAGGCATATCCTGCGTCGCGCCATCCGCTGCACCCCCGCTTGCACTCTGGAACCACCCTACGCGCCCCCGCCTCTAGCCACCAATGGCTTCCCTTAGTTCCGCCGTCTCGCTATCAGCGTCTCCGGCATTCTGTATCGCTACGGCTGTCGCGGCTACCCGGTCGGCAGAGCGGGAGCGTCCCGCGGAGCCGCAGTCACTCCAGCCGGCTCGTCGCCGCCGCGAGCGACGGAGAGCCAAATGGAATTTCTGCGAACGATGCAGATAATATCGGGGATAAGAGTGCAGGGGGAAGTGAGAAGGCGGAGAGCGCGGAGCTGGCGGGCATCCTGGCGCGCGTTCACGAGGAGATGGCGGAAGCCACCCGCGCCCAGGCGGACGGGCGCGTGTCAGCCCTGCGGAGCATGGGGCGCGAAGGCGACGGGGAGAGCGCAGCGGGCGAGCAGCTTCTGCTGGAGCTGCTGCAGGCGGAGGAGCAGCGGCGCATGCGCGCGCCGGGGGACACGGAGGAGGCGGAGGAGGAGGCGGGGTTTTGGGAAGGAAGAGACGGCACGCAAGGTGGAAAGGAGTACAGGTGGGTGCGAAGAAGGGCGAAAGCGAGTTGAGGCGAGTAACGTCGCTATGCGTCAACCAATACTGGCCAATTACCATGTACGATCCTCCCAATGCCCCTCGTTCCACGCACTACTCTTTTGCTCTGCCCGTGCTCTTGTGCCCCCATGTCCTTCCCCCCTTTTCCCGCTGCCTGCAGGCTGCCCCCATCCTTCTCCGCTCTTGCCACTGGCTCGTCCGCGGTCTCCCCCGCGGCTTCTGCAGCGCCTGCTGCCACTGGCGGCGATGGGGGGAGTGATGACAGCAGGGGCGCGCGGATCGAGGGGGGAGGTGAGGGCGCGGGTCAGCGCGAGACGCGGCAGGAGCAGGGGGAGGGGGCGGGTGGCGAGGAAGGGGGCGGAGGGGCGGGGGAGGGGGAGAAGGAGGTGCCGGAGGGGTCAGTGGTGCGCGAGCAGCTGGGGGGCCGCCCAGAGCTGTGGCGCGGCGTGCACGTGGCCGGAGCCAAGTGGGCGGGCGCGGGCGCGGGCGCGGGGGTAGCGCAAGGGGAGGGCGCTGGGCTAAGGCGAGGGGAGAGACCGGGGGAAGAAGGAGGGGGGCGGGCTGCGGCAGGGCAGAGCGGGGGGGGAGAGGCAGGGGCGGGCAGCGGGACGTACCTGCAGGCGCGCGAGCTGCTGTCGAACATGGCGAGAAGCATGGAGCAGCTGGAGAGCGGGCTCTCCACCCGCCACAAGGTGCGCCTCTCCTCTCCGCCCGCCACAAGGTGCGCCTCTCCTCTCCGCCCGCCACAAGGTGCGCCTCTCCTCTCCGCCCGCCACAAGGTGCGCCTCTCCTCTCCGCCCGCCACAGGGCAGCTGTGGAAGGCACCATGCTCGGCCGCCATGCGGGCCCAGTAGTTGCAATGTAACAGCACAGCCTGCATGCTTGTCCCGTTACCATACACACACACGCATCACACGCACAGACACACTCACCCCCACGCCTACTCTCCCCCCAATGCGTGGCATGGCATGGCATGGCGTGGCATGGCGTGGCATGGCATGGCATGGCGTGGCATGGCGTGGCATGGCATGGCATGGCGTGGCGTGGCGTGGCGTGGCATGGCATGGCATGGCATGGCATGGCGTGGCATGGCATGGCATGGCATGGCATGGCATGGCATGGCATGGCATGGCATGGCGTGGCGTGGCGTGGCGTGGCATGGCATGGCATGGCATGGCATGGCATGGCATGGCATGGCGTGGCATGGCATGGCGTGGCATGGCATGGCATGGCATGGCATGGCGTGGCATGGCATGGTGGGGTGGCAGGAGATGGGCGAGTCAACGCAGTTCATCACGGGCATCCGCTCCAGCGACCCCGCTGCCGCCCAGGTGGGCGCCACGCCACGTGGGTGGGTGGGAGGCCACGTGGGTGGCAGGGCGTGTGGGTGGCAGGGCGTGTGGGTGGCAGGGCGTGTGGGTGGGGCTATCCGTGGGTGGTGGGGTGCGGGGATGGGGTTGGTGTGCCTGATGCTGTGCAATGTATTCTGTGCTCCTAATGTATGCTGTGCTCCTAATGTATGCTGTGCTCCTAATGTATGCTGTGCTCCTAATGTATGCTGTGCTCCTAATGTATGCTGTGCTCCTAATGTATGCTGTGCTCCTAATGTATGCTGTGCTCCTAATGTATGCTGTGCTCCTGATGTATGCTGTGCTCCTAATGTATGCTGTGCTCCTGATGTATGCTGACAGCACAGCAGCATTGGTGGCGCCGGCAGCGAGCAGGGGTCACTGGAGTGGAGGGAGCAGCAAGTTGGGCGTGGTAGCAGTGCGCTTTCACCCCGCATGTGGCATTGCCCTCTCATTGCGTGAGGCAGCATGAAGAACTTACTACCGCGTACGTGTGCTCTCTGCTGTGCATGGGCATGGCATGGGTGGGCATGGCATGGCATGGCATGGCATGGCATGGCAGGGCGCAGTGGTGCGGAGGGCGGAGGAGATGGTGGCGCGCATGCAGGTGCAGTTTGCCGCCATGGAGAAGGAGGCCGCCCACAAGGACACCGTGCTCGCCCGCCTGCTCGCGCACGCCAAGTCCACCAAGCAGGTGCGCCCTTCATGCAAGCAGGTGCGCCCTTCATGCAAGCAGGTGCGTCCTTCATGCAAGCAGGTGCGCCCTTCATGCAAGCAGGTGCGCCCTTCATGCAAGCAGGTGCGCCCTTCATGCAAGCAGGTGCGCCCTTTGGGTCCAAGCAGGTGCGCCCTTTGAGTCGAAGCAGGTGTGCCCTTCATCATGCCACCTGCTCCCTCTGCCCTTGTCCCATGGCTCCCTTGCTCCCTCCAGTGCTTTCTCCTCTCCCAAGTTCCTCGCCTCACTTTCTTTTCTTCATTCCTGCTTTCCACTCAGATGCTTTCTTCCTGCCTCTGCGTGCGTGTGTGTGTGTGTGTGTGTGTGTGTGTGTGTGTGTGTGCACGCGCGTGCGTGCGTGCGTGCGTGCGTGCGTGCGTGCGTGTGTGTGTGTGTGTGTGTGTGTGTGTGTGCATGTGTGTGTGTGCATGTGTGTGTGTGTGCATGCGTGCATGTGTGCACACTCGTGTGCACGTGCCTGGGCGGCGAGCAGCAAATGAGGGCGGTGGAGGAGCGGTCGCGAGTGGAAAAGGATGAGCTCAGGCGGGAGATGACGGAGCAGCAGCAGCGCATGCAGAAGGTACGCCACCACATTGCCTGCTCCACCACATGCACTGCACTGTACTCTACCGCATTCAACATCCATACCCTCACTGCTCTCACCGTGTCCTTCCGTCACCGCCCACCATCTACTATCCCCCTCACTCACTTCCTCTTTCGTCCTCTTACCCGTATCCCCTGCCTCTCCCACATCCCCCCTCCCCCTTTCCCCTCCCCCACACCACCCCACCACCCCTCGGGCCCACCTGGGCGGGCGTGCGTGCGAGCGGGCAGGAGCTGGAGTGGGCGGCGGGGAGGGAGGAGCGGATGAGGCGGCAGCTGATGGAGGCGCAGGAGGGCATCGCGCACCGAGACGCCTTCCTGCAGCAGCTGCAGGAGGAGGCTGCGCTCTCCGCCTCCGCGCTCAAACAGGCCGCCAGGGTGGGTGGGCTGGGGGGGAGAAGACCGCTGCGTTTCACCTCACAAGGGTTGTGCTGTGCCGGCTGGTGTCAGATGGGGTGTGGTGGGGTGGGGTGGGGTGGGTGGGCAGTGGTGGCGCGGGTTGGAAATGACAGAGTGCGGGCATGTTCCAGCAGCAGTGCATATTTCTCCATGCCTTACGCCCTGCTTCCCTGCCACTCTTCATCCCCGGTCCGTGCTTTCCTGTGGTGCCGTGCCCGTGTGTGCGGGGCCGGGCGGGCGAGCAGGCGATGGTGGCTGCGCGGGACCGCACGTTGAGGATAGAGGAGCAGCTGGAGTCGATGGGCGACCAGCTCGCCAAGGAGCGCGCCAAGACCCGCCGCGAGCGCGAGAACACCGCCCGTGTTACTGCTGTATGTGCACTGCCCTGCCCTGCCCTGCCCTGCCGCATGTGATAAGTCAACTTGTGAGTGGATGGGCGACCAGCTTGACAAGGAACGCGCCAAGACCCGCCGCGAGCGCGAAAACACCGCGCGTGTGACTGCTGTATGTCCACTGCACTGTTGCGCATTCTGCATTGGCATTGCCTACCACCGCTCCTGATTCCCTCGTGTTCCATTTCTCCACACACTTCCCGCGTTGCAAATTCATCCTCCGCCACACCCCACCTTCTCCTTCTCTCTCTCCCCCCACCCCACCTTCTCCCCCTTTCTCTCCCCCCACCCCCCTCCTCCCCGGCGATGTGTGGGCGGCGTGGGCCGGGCACTGACAGGAGCTGGCGGAGGCGCGCATGGCGGTGGAGGAGATGGCGGGGCGGGTGGGGCGGCTGGAGAGCGAGGTGCAGCGCAAGGAGCGAGAGATGCAGCACAGCCGCCACGAGGCGGACGCTGTCAGGGCGCAGCTTAAAGCCACCCAGCAGGTCAGGGCGCAGCTTAAAGCCACTCAGCAGGTCAGGACGCAGTTTGAAGCCACCCAGCAGGTCAGGGCGCAGCTTAAAGCCACCCAGCAGGTCAGGGCGCAGCTTAAAGCCACCCAGCAGGTCAGGGCGCAGCTTAAAGCCACCCAGCAGGTCAGGGCGCAGCTTAAAGCCACCCAGCAGGTCAGGGCGCAGCTTAAAGCCACCCAGCAGGTCAGGGCGCAGCTTAAAGCCACCCAGCAGGTCAGGGCGCAGCTTAAAGCCACCCAGCAGATCAGGGCGCAGCTCAAAGCCACCCAGCAGGTGGGCAGGGCGAGCGGCCGTGGAGGGGCGAGCAAGGGAGTCACTTGGTGCGTGAGTGGGTGTGTTTGTGTGGGGAGGGATTGAGTGAGGGTGTCAACCTGTTTATCCTGGGACGAGCTCTCTCCTGCCCCACTGTCTTGCTGCCCGCCCATCACATCACCTCAACCTCTCCTCCCCTCTGTTCCGTGGTTCCCTGCCCCAGGCGTTGGAGGAGGCAGCGCAGCAGGCGAGGGAGGCGCAGGCAGGGAGGCAGCAGGCGGAGGCGGTGGCAGAGGAGGAGCGGGCGGCGGCAGCAGCGGCGGTGGAGGGGCAGCAGAGCGCAGAGCAGCGCCTCAGGGAGGCGCAGGCGCGCGTGCAGCTGCTGGAGGGCGAGGTGGTGTCGCTCAAGGTGGGGCGAGGTGGTGTGGGGTCGCTCAAGGTGGGGCGAGGTGGTGTGGGGTCGCTCAAGGTGGGGCGAGGTGGTGTGGGGTCTCTCAAGGTGGGGCGAGGTGGTGTCACTCAAGGTGGGGCGAGGTGGTGTCACTCAAGGTGGGGCGAGGTGGTGTCCCTCAAGGTGGGGCGAGGTGGTGTCCCTCAAGGTGGGGCGAGGTGGTGTCCCTCAAGGTGGGGCGAGGTGGTGTCCCTCAAGGTGGGGCGAGGTGGTGTCCCTCAAGGTGGGGCGAGGTGGTGTCCCTCAAGGTGGGGCGAGGTGGTGTCCCTCAAGGTGGGGCGAGGTGGTGTCCCTCAAGGTGGGGCGAGGTGGTGTCCCTCAAGGTGGGGCGAGGTGGTGTCCCTCAAGGTGGGGCGAGGTGGTGTCCCTCAAGGTGGGGCGAGGTGGTGTCCCTCAAGGTGGGGCGAGGTGGTGTCCCTCAAGGTGGGGCGAGGTGGTGTCCCTCAAGGTGGGGCGAGGTGGTGTCCCTCAAGGTGGGGCGAGGTGGTGTCCCTCAAGGTGGGGCGAGGTGGTGTCCCTCAAGGTGGGGCGAGGTGGTGTCCCTCAAGGTGGGGCGAGGTGGTGTCCCTCAAGGTGGGGCGAGGTGGTGTCCCTCAAGGTGGGGCGAGGTGGTGTCCCTCAAGGTGGGGCGAGGTGGTGTCCCTCAAGGTGGGGCGAGGTGGTGTTCCTCAAGGTGGGGCGAGGTGGTGTCCCTCAAGGTGGGGCGAGGTGGTGTCCCTCAAGGTGGGGCGAGGTGGTGTCCCTCAAGGTGGGGCGAGGTGGTGTCCCTCAAGGTGGGGCGAGGTGGTGTCCCTCAAGGTGGGGCGAGGTGGTGTCCCTCAAGGTGGGGCGAGGTGGTGTCCCTCAAGGTGGGGCGAGGTGGTGTCCCTCAAGGTGGGGCGAGGTGGTGTCCCTCAAGGTGGGGCGAGGTGGTGTCCCTCAAGGTGGGGCGAGGTGGTGTCCCTCAAGGTGGGGCGAGGTGGTGTCCCTCAAGGTGGGGCGAGGTGGTGTCCCTCAAGGTGGGGCGAGGTGGTGTCCCTCAAGGTGGGGCGAGGTGGTGTCCCTCAAGGTGGGGCGAGGTGGTGTCCCTCAAGGTGGGGCGAGGTGGTGTCCCTCAAGGTGGGGCGAGGTGGTGTCCCTCAAGGTGGGGCGAGGTGGTGTCCCTCAAGGTGGGGCGAGGTGGTGTCCCTCAAGGTGGGGCGAGGTGGTGTCCCTCAAGGTGGGGCGAGGTGGTGTCCCTCAAGGTGGGGCGAGGTGGTGTCCCTCAAGGTGGGGCGAGGTGGTGTCCCTCAAGGTGGGGCGAGGTGGTGTCCCTCAAGGTGGGGCGAGGTGGTGTTCCTCAAGATGGGGCGAGGTGGTGTCCCTCAAGGTGGGGCGAGGTGGTGTCCCTCAAGGTGGGGCGAGGTGGTGTCCCTCAAGGTGGGGCGAGGTGGTGTCCCTCAAGGTGGGGCGAGGTGGTGTCCCTCAAGGTGGGGCGAGGTGGTGTCCCTCAAGGTGGGGCGAGGTGGTGTCCCTCAAGGTGGGGCGAGGTGGTGTCCCTCAAGGTGGGGCGAGGTGGTGTCCCTCAAGGTGGGGCGAGGTGGTGTCCCTCAAGGTGGGGCGAGGTGGTGTCCCTCAAGGTGGGGCGAGGTGGTGTCCCTCAAGGTGGGGCGAGGTGGTGTCCCTCAAGGTGGGGCGAGGTGGTGTCCCTCAAGGTGGGGCGAGGTGGTGTCCCTCAAGGTGGGGCGAGGTGGTGTCCCTCAAGGTGGGGCGAGGTGGTGTCCCTCAAGGTGGGGCGAGGTGGTGTCCCTCAAGGTGGGGCGAGGTGGTGTCCCTCAAGGTGGGGCGAGGTGGTGTCCCTCAAGGTGGGGCGAGGTGGTGTCCCTCAAGGTGGGGCGAGGTGGTGTCCCTCAAGGTGGGGCGAGGTGGTGTCCCTCAAGGTGGGGCGAGGTGGTGTCCCTCAAGGTGGGGCGAGGTGGTGTCCCTCAAGGTGGGGCGAGGTGGTGTCCCTCAAGGTGGGGCGAGGTGGTGTCCCTCAAGGTGGGGCGAGGTGGTGTCCCTCAAGGTGGGGCGAGGTGGTGTCCCTCAAGGTGGGGCGAGGTGGTGTCCCTCAAGGTGGGGCGAGGTGGTGTCCCTCAAGGTGGGGCGAGGTGGTGTCCCTCAAGGTGGGGCGAGGTGGTGTCCCTCAAGGTGGGGCGAGGTGGTGTCCCTCAAGGTGGGGCGAGGTGGTGTCCCTCAAGGTGGGGCGAGGTGGTGTCCCTCAAGGTGGGGCGAGGTGGTGTCCCTCAAGGTGGGGCGAGGTGGTGTCCCTCAAGGTGGGGCGAGGTGGTGTCCCTCAAGGTGGGGCGAGGTGGTGTCCCTCAAGGTGGGGCGAGGTGGTGTCCCTCAAGGTGGGGCGAGGTGGTGTCCCTCAAGGTGGGGCGAGGTGGTGTCCCTCAAGGTGGGGCGAGGTGGTGTCCCTCAAGGTGGGGCGAGGTGGTGTCCCTCAAGGTGGGGCGAGGTGGTGTCCCTCAAGGTGGGGCGAGGTGGTGTCCCTCAAGGTGGGGCGAGGTGGTGTCCCTCAAGGTGGGGCGAGGTGGTGTCCCTCAAGGTGGGGCGAGGTGGTGTCCCTCAAGGTGGGGCGAGGTGGGAGGGCGAGGAGAGTGGGATTTGGTGGGATCCTCGAGGTGGAGTGGACGTGCCGTGTGGGATGTTGGGGTGTGCTGGAGGTGCTTGAAGAGCACGTGGTTGGCTTGGAGAGCACGTGGTTGGCTTGGAGAGCACGTGGTTGGCTCAATTGATGAAGCACATACATGATGGGGTTGTGCTTGTTAACACCCCTGGCCTGTGCAGCCCTTTCATCCACCAGTGGTACTCGCTACCCTCTCTATCTCCCCCCACCCGTCTCCCCTCTCCACCTCGCGTCCTCGTGCTCCCGTGCGGTGTGTGTGTGTGTGTGGGCGGGCAGGAGGTGGCGGCAAGCAAGGACTCGCTGTTGGCGGCGGTGAAGGAGGAGACGATGCGCAACGCGGACATGCTGCTGGCTGCTGCCAACACTCGCAAGGTCAGACCTTGCTGCCAACACTCGCAAGGTCAGACCGTGCTGCCAACACTCGCAAGGTCAGACATGGCATCAACCTTGTCTTGTCTGGCCCACTCCACCACCCCGCCATTCAACCGTACCCTCCCCCCTTCCCCTCTTCCCCCTTTCCCCATGCTCCCGTCCCCCCCTGTCGGTGTGGCATGGGGAGGGCAGGAGTTGGCGGGCGCGGAGGCGCGGATAGCAGCGCTGCAGGGGTCGGTGGCGGCACTGGAGGCGGAGGTGAGGCAGCAGGACCAGCTGCTCTGCGACATCCGCGCTGACGCTGTCTCCAGTGCTGACGCCCTGCGCACCGCTGCTCAGATCAACCAGGTGGGCGGTGGAATGGCTCGTAAGGTGAACGGCGTTAGGGTTGAAACTGGGGAGGCTAGGTTAGGTTGATGGGCGGGGCAAGGGGAAGAAGCAATGAGACACGAGTGAGTGGCCCAGTAGGCATGGCATGGACTACGAGTGGTCATGTGCGCAGCACGCTGGTGCTCACCCCTTGCACCACATGTGCCTCCCCATGCCTGTCCCCCTCCCACCGTGGTGGTGGTGGCATGGCAGGACCTGAATGCAGCGAGGGAGCGCGAGGCGGAGCTGTTGGAGCAGCTGGAGCAGCGCGAGGCGGAGGTGGAGAGCCTGCGGCGCGACACCTCCGAGAACATCCGCGCACAGCGCGCTGAGCTGGTGAGTCAACAACAGAGGGGGGAGGGGGTGGGGTTGCTTTTCTCGTGAGTCAACAACAGAGGGGGGAGGGGGTGGGGTTGCTTTTCTCGTGAGTCAACAACAGAGGGGGGAGGGGGTGGGGTTGCTTTTCTCGTGAGTCAACAACAGAGGGGGGAGGGGGTGGGGTTGCTTTTCTCGTGAGTCAACAACAGAGGGGGGAGGGGGTGGGGTTGCTTTTCTCGTGAGTCAACAACAGAGGGGGGAGGGGGTGGGGTTGCTTTTCTCGTGAGTCATTGGAGGGCAGCGCGCTGAGCTGGTGAGTTAAGAACAAGGGGGGGAGGGTTGCTTTGCTCTGAGGGCGCAGCTGGGGCGGAGGTGGTGAGCGTGGGGTTGCTGAGGGGGCGGGGGTGGTGGGCGCAAGGGCGGAGCTGATGCTTGTGCACCACCCCCATTACCTCCTCGCTGCTTCACTCCTCTTCCCTCGCTTCCTGTATGCCTCTTTTCCAGCACTAAACCACCAATTCCCTCCCTTTCCCCCTCTCCCCCCGTCCCCTCCCCCGTTTTCGTGTGTGGCGTGAGTGGCGGGGGGCAGGCGCTGCGCGAGGCGGAGAGGCGGGCGCGGGAGCTGGAGATGGAGAGGGAGTCGCTGCTTCACCCCCACTCTCCCCACCCCCACAAACCACCTCTCTCCCCACCCCCACAAACCACCTCTCTCCCCACCCCCACAAACCACCTCTCTCCCCACCCCCACAAACCACCTCTCTCCCCACCCCCACAAACCACCTCTCTCCCCACCCCCACAAACCACCTCTCTCCCCACCCCCACAAACCACCTCTCTCCCCACCCCCACAAACCACCTCTCTCCCCACCCCCACAAACCGCCACTCTGCCCCCTTCCTTTCTCCAGGCGCTGCGCGAGGCGGAGAGGCGGGCGCGGGAGCTGGAGATGGAGAGGGAGTCGCTGCGGCGGGGCGTGGCGAAGCGCGACCAGGCGCTGGGGCTCATGAAGAGGGAGCTCGAGCGCAGCGCGCACATGCTCTCCGCCGCTGCTGACACCCGCCAGGTGAGGCGTGCTGCTCACATCACACTCGCCAGCTGCTCTTTTCAGGTAGATGATCTTGTGGAGCAACAACTGTGCTGTGACTGAGGGGATTTTTTTGCAGTGTGCCGCCCTTGCCCTCCCTTGCCACGGGATATCAACCACCCTCATGCACTCCCATTGTGCCCTCATGCACTCCCATTGTTCCCTCATACACTCCCACGTGCCCTCATGCACTCCCATGTGCCCTCATGCACTCCCATTGTTCCCTCATACACTCCCACGTGCCCTCATGCACTCCCATGTGCCCTCATGCACTCCCATGTGCCCTCATGCACTCCCATTGTTCCCTCATGCACTCCCATGTGCCCTCATGCACTCCCATTGTGCCCTCATGCACTCCCATTGTTCCCTCATGCACTCCCATGTGCCCTCATGCACTCCCATTGTGCCCTCATGCACTCCCATTATTCCCTCATGCACTCCCATGTGCCCTCATGCACTCCCATTGTGCCCTCATGCACTCCCATGTGCCCTCATGCACTCCCATGTGCCCTCATGCACTCCCATTGTTCCCTCATACACTCCCATGTGCCCTCATGCACTCCCATGTGCCCTCATGCACTCCCATTGTTCCCTCATACACTCCCATGTGCCCTCATGCACTCCCATGTGCCCTCATGCACTCCCATTGAGCCCGCGTGAACGGCAGGCGCTGCGGAGCATGAAGGAGCAGATGGAGTGGATGCAGGAGGAGGCGCGCGTCAAGGAGGAGCGCCTGGCAGCGCTGCAGGAGGAGTTCGTTTCCGCCCTCAAAGGCACCACCTTCCCATCGCTGGTACGCGCCTGTTTCGTGCACGCATGCATGTATGCACCTTTGTTATCCTTAGGTGCTTCTCCTCGTATGTGGATGTGCAATGATTCTGCTGTTTTCGTAAACCTCGCTTCGTGAGTGCTCATTTCTTTTTTGAACTGACATGATTCATGCAGGACAAGAGCATTCTAAAGCGAAGAAAGGTGCCGCCACAAGGGAAGTCGTTTGGAGGAGATGCGCAACCCGAATCACCTGCCCGATAGCAACACCTACCTCCTTGTCAATGGAGTGCCCGTATCAGCAACTCTATAAAGCATGGAGATTGCTTGGTTCCTGAGTTTGTATGCCAAACGTTTGTTACGGATAAAGAAATGTGAAAGGGTACTCTACATTCATGGCATTAGCAAGAACGAGAATTCCAGAAGCGAGTACGAAGGCGAAAAAACAGAAGCGACGCAAACGGTTGCGAAATATCTGGACCGTCGGAGCGGACAGCATCAGGCAGCTGCAAGAGCGAGGATTTTGGAAGGAACATTTTTGTAACTGTCCAACGTCGCACGGTTAAGTTTGAATTCGAATAAGGCCATGTGATTCCATTTCATTCCATGTGTGCAAGATACGGTATGAGTGTTTCAACTCTGCCTGGTACGCTCCCTACACATTCGAACCGACCACCCTGATCAATGCAATTAACTGGCCATACGAACTGAACACCCTATGTACTAGGTTAGATGACTAGATTATACTATTTTCTACCTACGTGCCCTGTGATTCCATTACATTCCATACTGTCATAAAACTATATATTATTCTGACACGCCCCCATAAGTGCCTGTAGGGAAGAATATGCAATCAACGCCCCCATAATGGGGTACACCAGACAGAGTGCAGCGGAAGAAACAGTGGCAGGCAAAAGCAGTGATAGCCGGTGCAGAAGTGGCAGATCCAGTTGTACCAAACCCTCCGCCAAGGCAGAAACAAAAGCAGGTGTAGGAGCGGCAGGTCGCCTGAGGAGCAGGCTCTGTGGCTGCAACGTGCAGCAGGACAGCAGCGGCTCGACGGCAGCACCTGCAGGCCCCAACAGCAGGCAACAGAAGCAAAGGCAGCAAAGGAAGGTGGCGGCAGGGGCGGCAGCTGGAGGTGCCACATCAGCAGCGAGCGACAGCAGCAGATGACCGGCTGACTTCCGTCGCCCCCTCACTCTCCCCCCCACAGCGGCACGTGCGGCAGTGAGAGAGAGAGAGGAGGGGCGGCAGCTTCTTGCTCACACCCGCCACCCCAAACCCTCCCCCCCCCACTGCTGCACGCGCAGCAGGGAGAGAGAAGGGACGGCGTGTGGCAGGTTAGCGGTGTGGCGCAGCAGCGAACAGAGAGGCGTCAACCACCCTCGCGCCTCCCCCCCCGCCCCTCCCCCCCCCCACGACGAGAGTCGCGGAAGGGAGGGGAGGCGGCGTACGCTGCTGCTGGCGCTGGCGCTCGCAGAAGGCGCTGGTGCCGGTGCTGGCGGCCGTGTTGCGTAGGCGCTGGCGCTGGCGCACGCGCTGGCGCTTGCGCAGGTCGCTGGCGCACGCGCGGGCGCTGGCAGCTGGCGCACGGGCTGGCGCAGGTCGCCGGCGCACGCGCTGGTACCTTCGCACGCGCGGGCGCTGGTTGCTAGCGCACGCGCGGGCGCAGGTTGCTGGCGCACGCGCTGGCGCAGGCGCCGGCGCTTCGGGTCGCAGCAGGTCCGAAATCTGAAATTTTGCCAGTGAGAGCGCGGCGAGGCAAGCGTGGCGCAACGAACCAGCGAGGCGCTCGCCATGAGAGCGAGAAAAAAAAAAAATTCTTAGGCCCGAGGATCTAGTAGCTCTGATAACATGTTGAAGTAGGTAGAGGATCCTAGGCTTAGGAGAAACCCTAGCCTAGGAGAATGTCGAGAGGAACGAGAGGTGAGTTGGCCAAAAGGGAATGTTCACTATAGTGTGAGCAATACAAATAGGCAGGAATCAAGAAAGGTGCACCACCAAACAGAAAGTGATATGACTACAGTATTCTACACTACAGGCAGTTATAGAACAATATATAAAACTATATATTATTCTGACTGTCATCACCCGAGTATAAGACACTGTTGAATAAAAGACAGGGGGTGTCTATTATCCGAGTGTCTCTTATAAACGGGGTAGCCTCTTTGTAAGACACCTATTTGCGTGTACGAGTTAAGCTTGTGTAGGGGTTAGGGCAATTGTATAACGAGGGGGTATCTTCTAAACGGTTATGTATCCATTTATAAGACTAATTAGACACCCTAGATACGGTAGTCCTGAATACAAGACAACCCAAGAATGCTTGCTCGTGTACGAGATAAGACATATATGTCTTATATCCGGGCGATGACGGTATATTTTGCAAGATACGAGCGTATCAACTCTGCCTGGTACGCTCCATACATGTGCACATGCCGGCCACCCTGATCAATGCATTAATCACTAGCCATACGAACTGGATGCCCTTTCTAATAGGTTAGTCCATTAGATTAGACTAATTTCTACATACGTGCCATGCTTCAGTAACAAAAGGCCGATTTGGGTAAAAAAGGCCGAGATTTCAGACTTATTCGAGAATCAGTGCTAATTTTCCAGAAATTTTCAAAAAAAGGTGGGGAAATCTATTAGATTTCTAGTGTAAAGTAACATAAAATGATATATTTGTCTAATTTTCAATCTAACATTTTGTACAAACTCTTATTAATCAGACTAGACCGAAACCAATCTGAGGCCCTAGTGCCATTTGATTCCATTTCATTCCATGTATTTTGGGCCGGCAAGAGCATTGCATCGCACGAGGGTTGCCGGCAAGAGCATTGCAGCGCATTAGCATGGCCAGCAAGAGCATTGCAGCGCGCGAGCGTGGCCGGCAATGATGGTTGTGTCTGCTGACAAATGGTAACGAAGCGCATGAATCCCTATAGGCGTAGGGAAAAGCATCAAACGACCTGAATGTTGTTGCATATTTGGGTGGCCCATGTTCAAATACACCTACCAGAGCAATTTCAGCTTGGTTCGTGCGCATACAAAAGTTTGGCGCATGCGATGACGGCTGTGTGTGCCGACAAATGGTAACGAAGCGCATGGATCCCTATAGGAGTCGAGAAAACATCAAATGACATGACTGTTGTTGCATAGTTGGGTGGCCCATGTTCAAATATATCTACCAGAGGAATTTCAATTTGGTTCGTGCGCACAGAATAGTTTGGCGCCTACGATGACGGCTGTGTCTGCCGACAAATGGTAACGAAGCGCATGGATCCCTATAGGCGTAGGGAAGAGCATAGAACGACCTGAATGTTGTAGCATATTCGAGTGACCCATATTCAAATACACCTACAAGAGCAATTCCAAGCTCAGAAAAGTTCGGCGTCTGCGATGACGGCTGTGTGTGCCGACAAATGGTAACGAAGCGCATGAATCCTTATAGGCGTAGCAAAATCATCGAACGACCGGAATGTTGTTGCATATTTTGGTGGCCCATGTCCAAATACACCTACCAAAGCAATTTCAGGTTGGTTCGTACGCACAGAAAAGTTTGGCGCCGACGATGATGGCTGTGTCTGCCGACAAATGGTAACGAAGCACATGTATCCCCAAATGCCTAGGGAAAAGCATCGATCAACATGAATGTTGTTGCATATTTGGGTGGCTCAAGTTCAAATACACATACCACAGCAATTTCAGCTTGGTTCGTGCGCACAGAAAAGTTATGCGTCGCGATGACGGCTGTGTGTGCCGACAAATGGTAACGAAGCGCATGGATCCCAATAAGCGTAGTGAAAAGCATTGAACGACCTGAACGTTGTTGCTTATTTTAATGGCCCATGTTCAAATACACCCAGCAAAGTAATTTCAGCTTTGTTCGTGCGCACATAAAAGTTTGGCACCAGCGATGACGGCTTTGTGTGCTGACAAATGGAAACGAAGTGCATGGATCTCTATAGGCGTAGAGAAAAGCATTGAACGACATGAATGTTGTTGAATATTTTGGTGGCCCATGTTCAAATACACCTACCCGAGCGATTTTAACTTGGTTCGTGCGCACAGAAAAATTCGGCGCCGACGATGACGGCGGTGTGTGCCGACAAATGGTAACGAAGCGCATGGATCCCTATAGGCGTAGGGAAAAGCATCGAACGACCTGAATGTTGTTGCATATTGTGGTGGCCCATGTATCAAACACACCTTCTAGAGCGATTTCAACTTGATTCGTGCGCACAGAAAGGTTCGGCGCTTTCGATGACGGTTGTGTCTATCGACGAATGGTAATGAAGCGCATATATCCTTATAGGCGCAGGGAAAAGCATCGGACGACCAGAATGTTGTTGCATATTTGGGTGGCCCATGTTTAAATACGCATACTAGAGCAATTTCATCTTGATTCGTGCGCGCAGAAAAGTTCGGCGCCGGCGATGACGGCTATGTCTGCCGACAAATGGTAACGAAGCGCATGGATCCCTATAGGCGTAAGGACAAGCATCGAACGACCTGAATGTTGTTGCATAGTCTGGTGGCCCTTGTTCAAATACACTACCAAAGCAAATTCAGCATGTTTTTTGGGCATAGAAAAGTTTTGCTCCTGCGATGACGGCTGTGTGTGCCGATAAATAATAACGAAGCGCATAGATCCTTATAGGCGTAGGGAAAAGCATCGAGCGACATGAATATTGTTGCATATTCGGGTGGCCCATGTTCAAATACACATAGTTATGAGAGCAATTTCAGCTTGGTTTGTGCCCACAGAAAAGTTTGGCATCGGTGATGACGGCGGTGTGTGCCGACAAACGGTAACGGAGCGCATGGATCCCTATAAGCGTAGGGAAAGGCATCGAACGACCTGATTGTTGTTGCATATTTTAGTGGTCCATATTCAAATACACCTACTAGAGCAATTTCAGCTTGGTTCGTGCGCACAGAAAAGTTCGGCGCCTGCGATGACGGCTGTGTCTGCCGACAAATGGTAACGAAGCGCATGGATCTTTATAGGCGTAGGAAAAAAACATCGAACAACATAAATGCTGTTGCATGTTCGGACCCATGTTCAAATACACCTACCAGAGCGAATTCAGCATGGTACCCCCTCAGACCTTGCATATCGATCTCGGCTTCAAACACGCACAGGCTCGACTACCCCACCCCTCACAGTAAGCCCATCCAGGGGCGTTTCTAGCCATATTTTCGCGAAAACGGGATCGAATCCGCACGGTATAAAAAATTGCGAATCAGGCGGGGAT